GCTATTTCTTCCCCTATCGCCATACCTCCATGTTCCTCATTCAATAGTTTCTCAAAATAGTTCTTCCATTTTTCCTTAATCTCTTTATCCTTCATCAATACCTTAGAATCTTCACTTTTGATGCACTTAACTTGATTAAAATCTCTTGTTTTCCTCTTCCGTATTTTAGCAAGTTTATATACCATCTTTTCTCCTTTTTTACTATATAGTCTAGTGTATAGGTCATCATAAGCTTTCAATTTAGTCTCTCTCACTACTTTCTTGACCTCCTTATTAGCCAATCTATAGCTTTGAAAGTTTTTCTTAGTTCTATCCTTTTGCCACTTTTCAAAGCACTCTTTTTTTGCCTTAACTACCGCTTGAATCTCTTCCCTCCACCACCAAGTTTCCCTAGTGTTGTGTCCCGTTCCTTTCGACTCTCCAAGCACTTCCCTTGGGATTCTCCTTATACAATTGGCCATCGAGTTCCACTTCCAAGTCCCAAGTGCCTTCCTTATCCATTTTATTCTTAAATATTTCTAATTTGTCCCCTTTTAGGTCTCACCATCTCGTCCAACGACGTCCACCATCCTTCATAGCTTGGTATTGCCCCCTAAAACATAAATCTAGTACCAAAATCCTATGTTGAGAAGTCATGCTCTCTCCAGGAATCACCTTACAATCATTGTATTTTAAGCAGTCCACTTTTCTCACTAAGAAGTAATCTATTTGGCTCTTAACTGACCCACTCTTAAAGATTATTAAATGCTCCTCCCTCTTCTTATACATAGTATTGGCCACCACCAGATCAGAAGCCAACATAAAATCTAAGATACTCTCTCCAGCCTCATTTCTGTCACCAAAATCATATCTACCATGCACCATTTCATAGCCTAGTTTATCTATGCCTATATGGCCATTAAAATCTCCACCTATAACCAGGTTCTCTCATATGAGTATCTTTTGTAAGATCTCATCCATTTGCTTCCAAAAATCCCTCTTAGTCGGATCATCTAATCCTACTTGAGGGGCGTATACACTAATGACGTTCACTATATTTCCTCCAATAACTAGTTTAACTAACATAATCCTATCTCCTTTCCTAATGACCACCACTACATTTTCCACAAGACCCTTGACAATTAAGATTCCTACCCCACTCCTGTGTTTATCCTTACCACTATAATACAGTTTAAAACCGGTATCCTCAATTTCCCTAACTTTCTCATCCGTCACTTAGTTTCTTGTACGCAAGCTATATTAACTCTCTTCCTAATCATAATATCTACCAATTCCATCGTCTTACCAGTTAAGGTTCCTATATTCAATTGGTTACCCTAAACCTATAGTCTTGGACTAGCTTCTTTACCAGCGCTCGTCCAGAAAAATGTGGTAACCTTTGCCCATTTTTCACCGCACCCAAGCGTCGATGTGGCGCCCCTTACTCACTTTTTGAAACACCCGGAGGCAGGCGCAACACGTCATTTGAGGGGAACGACCTAGTATTTAAACGTTTCAAAGTAGGATTCATTGTCATAAGGGATCCGAGCGGCTTTGTTACGGATTGGTTGTTGGCTACCTAACACACAACCCTCCTCCTTAACCAAGGCTTGGGACCGGCAGAGTTGTTAACAACCCCGACAGAGTTTTTAAAATATAATCATTAATCTATATAATAACATTAATATAGTTATTTGTCTACCATTTCAAACATATCCAATCTATCCATTTAATACATACTTTTCAATACCTAAATTAACAAAAATAAAAACAAAAAAAAAGTTTAAAAATACTAAGATTTCAAGAATAATGAGTTAGAATTAAGATTATATATAATAAGAGTTTACAAACTTAAGTTATAAAGATGATAAGGTTAATTAATTAAGGTTAATAACTTATTATACTCATTAATATCATTATATTATTAGATTATATATATGTGTATTATAAATACAATATATGTTGAAACAGTCGATTTCGGTTTAATTCGGTGCACAGAATGCTTAAATCGATACCGAACCGAAAATCTAAAAAAATCAAATTTAAAAACTGCACAGACCGATTCTTGTTAAAAAAAGACCAAATATAGCTGGTTTAGTCCGGTTTAATAGTTTTTTCTATTTTTCTTACATCCCTACTTCCAATGATAAAAGGACATGTAATTATTTTTATTTTTTTTGTGAAAATAAATTTAGAAAGTGATTTAGTTATTTATTTTGTATGAATTTGAAATCACAAGGATTGAGAATAAAATAAACTGTAGATTATAAATCAATAATATTATAAATTCAGACTTAATTATTTAAAATTATTATTTAATAGTTTAAATATATTTTACATGCAAACTCCACGTTACATAAATTCAATCTCAACTATACAATCACTATTCTAGGTTAATGCAAGGACCATTACATCCTTAAGGCTTAAGTTTTGAAAATTACATGACGTCCGTTCAAGTTTATAATCACATAATAAATTATTTATTTTATTAATAAATCAATAAGTCAATTGATAGTTTTAATGATGTTAGAAATATATTTTAATTAATAATTAAAGTAATTTTATTATTGTATAGAAGAGTAATTATAAATTTTATTTTTTTCTATTAATTATGTTGAATAAATATTCTGATAAGGGAGTATTTATAATCAACAATGATTCATCCACACAAATTTTCCTCCTTGAATCTCCTAAATGATATTCTTACCAGTAAGAAACCATACTCTTATCAGTAAAAATCTCAATCAAGAGATTCGAAGGAGAAAAATTATGCTGATAAATCATTAATCATTTATAATTTTTCAAATTATAAAAAATAATTGTATTTTAAGTAAATTTTAAAAGATATATTTGTAATTTATCTTAAAATAAAGGGTAAATTACAAATACACTCCCTGAGATTTGTTTAAAATACAGATTGTCCCCTGTAGTTTGAAAAATTACAAATACCCCATCGTTAAAATATTTTATTTAACAGAATTAATTAAAAAAAAAGAAATTCATAATTGTTCTTTTATACAATAATAAAATTATTTAAATTATTAATTGAAACATATTTATATCATCATTAAAAACTGTAATTGATTTGATAATTTATTAATAAAATGGGTGATTTGTTATGAAATTAGAAACCTCAAAGGGTGAAATGTAATTTCCAGAACTACAGAAGACGATTTGTATTTTAATCAAATCTCAGGGGGTGTATTTGTAATTTACCCTAATATAAAATATAAGTACCTACCAATTGATAAAGTAATTGTCTCTTAAAATTTTGGGTAGATTACAAATATACTTCCCAAGATTTGCTTAAAATACAAATTACCCTTTGTGGTTTGGAAAATTACAAATACCTTTTTGTTAGTATTTTTTTATTTAACAGAATTAACTAAAAAAATAAAATTCATAATTGCTCTCCTATACAATAATAAAATTACTTAAATTATTGATTGAAACATATTTATAACACCATTAAAAATTGTTAATTGACTTGATAATTTATTAATAAAAATGACAATTTGTTATGACATTAGAAACCTCATGGAGTGGAATGTAATTTCCAAAATCATAAGAAACGATTCGTATTTTAATCAAATCTCAAAAAATGTATTTATAATTTAGTATTACTCGACTTGATCTAATAACACTTGGAATATAATAATTTATCGTATTGTTGCAATTTGTCAAGTAGGCTGTAAAATGAATTAAAAAAATATACGAAAACATATTCTAAATAATTAAGAAAAATATCATTGAAAAAAATTAATTATTCGACATTGATTCGGTCATTGTTTTAAAGATTTGTATGAAAAGCTGTAATCTCTCTCCCCTGTCATCCATCTAGATTCTTATTCAATGACCTCTTATCTTTAAAGCTTGTTTGAATTTTTTTTTTTTTTACTTTATTTTTTAATTTTTCTTTTCAAAATTACAAGTATAGGGACAAATTTATTTTTTTACTCTATGTTTAGAAATCATGTGTTTGTTTAAAATCGTTATTGCAGGTAACCTTTTTTTCAATTGAATGCAAACACTTAGAAAGAAATTAGGGGACGCCGACCATAAATTCAATTTCAAAATGTTTGACACAAACTCTATTTTTTGAGGATTAAAAAAACAAATAATTGAAAAGATCATATAATCATTGCCTGTTTATTTATTTGTATATTGTCAATATCACTTATTTATCTATTTATTTGTCTATGTATAATCTACTTATTTATCCATATATCACCTATCTATTTAAATTACCATCACTAGAGACCAATATAGTTTACTTTTATGTCATTTTTTGACAACTTTTTTGGCCACTGACAATGATAATCCATGACAGTCTATAGTGAAGTAAAAAATTTATTAAAAAAAAAAATCTAAATAATAATTTATCATTTTTACCAAATAATTTCATTAATCAAGTTATTATCACACCCCCCAAAAAAAAAAAAACAATTTTTGGATCTAATATCATATCCATCCAAAAAATTTGACTTATCACCAACAAACAAACAAACAAAAAAAATTATAATTCACATAGTGTTTTATGTTAAATTAAAAAAAGTGATTTCTAGTCATGTTTTAACTTAGAATAAGAAATAAGTTGATCTGTACACATCTCTCACATATTTTAGAGACTAAAGGCCTATTTGGGTAATTAGAAAGACAAAATTAATTTATTGACTTATTTAAAACACATCACCTCTCTATTTTTTGCATATTTTTTTAAAAAAAAAATAAATTTTTTTTTTTTTACTTTTCAAAATAGGCCTAAAAGTATAAATTTTTTAATTAAACTTGTACATTTACTCCTGATTTTAAGCGGGTACATACTAATTAATCAATAAATATTGAGCCATATTTGACATTTCCATGTTTTAATACATCACTGCCTTGGGCTCCAAGAAATTAGAAGTGGAAAGAATTCTTCACTTTATTAAAAAAAGAAAGAAAAGAAAGAAAAAAAATGAGTGCTCAACACTCTTCCACCTCTATATATATTTGAAAATATGATCTTCTCAATCAACACCTCAAAATAAAAAATAAAAAAAAAAAAAAAAGAAAGAAAGAAAAAAAGAGGAGAGAAATTTTGTTTTGTTGACAAACTCAAAACCTCTCTTGCACCCTAAGACAACAACAATCTTCACAGCACTGTTGTTTATTTATTGTAATTGTTCTTGATTCTGTACAAATTTAGAACAAGCCTAATTATTTTGTTGCAGTTGAGGGAGAAAAAAAAAAGAAAAGAGAAAGGATACAAGAATGGTGTCGCTAAAGCTGCAGAAACGATTAGCAGCTAGCATACTCAACTGTGGAAAGGGGAAGGTGTGGCTTGACCCTAACGAGACCGGTGATATCTCCATGGCCAATACTAGTATGTCTTTTCCTGTTTTTAAAATTATTCATATCTTGTGTTGATGAACAAATTTTTGGCGAATCAATTGCGACAATTTGTTTACCATTTTGGTCGACAAATCTCTATTTTCGTATTTTGCATCCATTTTTATGTGGGCAAGTCTGCCTTTTGTTGTTGTTATATTTTGTTTTACATAGTCATTACATCATAATTTCTAACGAATTTTTTTGGAAAAATAAGGTGTGTAATTTTATGTTAAATTATTTGTGTTTATTGAAAATAATGAGGGTGGTATTAAGTAATTGGTGCTAATAATGTGTAGCAATTTTTTTGTTTTTTTTTTGGGGGGGTATTGATTTACAGGGATGTTCATAAGAAAGCTAGTAGCGTGCGGTATTATCATCAAGAAGCCAAGAACAATTCACTCCAAATCTCATGCTCGATTGGCTTTACAAGCAAAGAGAAAGGGAAGGCACTCGGGTTATGGAAAGCGAAAGGGAACAAGTGAGGCAAGACTACCAACAAAGGTGTTGTGGATGAGGAGGTTGAGAGTTTTGCGACGTTTACTGTGTAAGTACCGTGAATTAAATAAGATTGACAAGCACTCGTACCATGAGATGTACATGAAGGTGAAGGGAAATGTTTTCAAGAACAAGCGCGTAATGATGGAGAACATTCACAAGGCACAGGTTGAGAAAGCGAGAGTAAAGTCACTTTTTGATCAGACAAAGGCCATGCAATCCAAAAACAACATTATTAGGAAATTTTAATTTGATGAATAAGCATTTAAATAACAAAATCAAATATGTTCAATTGTAGTTGAGATTTTGTAGAGTTTGTTCTATATATGTTGTTCTGTGATATATATTGCTCTGTGAGTTAATTCAAAAAACTTCTTTGGATTTGATACTTTGAGAGATTAAATTTTAATTATAATTGCCGAATGATATTATTCAAATTGTTTGATGAATGACTTCTAGTCCGGTTAGACGAATGCTTTATTCTCATCTCTTTCTTTTTCTTTTCTTTTTTCCATTTATTTTTTCTTCATTTTTCTGATCTCAAAAAAAAAGACAAGCTAGCTCCCATTTTAAATGCCAAAAGGGTATATCCTTGCAAGGAATTCCATCCAATGCACCAAGGATCCTCTAGAGTGTTTTTTGTCATTTGGAAAACAAAGGAAAGCATATACAAAATAATGAACAAGTATGAGTTTAAAAATAAGATTCATTTTTCCTAGACAAATATAATAAATGATGCAACTATCATTTTATATCAATTTGATTTATAAATAAATGCCTAAAAAATAATGATTTAAATTATTAAAATGAAATCCATAGGTTGCCATCGGGCCAAAGTGCACAATCCAATTCATTGTCATGGGGCGGAGAGAAAATCTTCTCAAAATAAAAAACAGTGAAAATTTCAAAAACACAATTATTTTACACAAATGATTTTATTTTTTATTTTTTTTTTGAGAATTCATAAAGCAATTTAAAATTGATTTCTGAAAATATTATGATTTAACCCCCAAAAAAATTGAAAATAGATTTCAAAAAATAATATGTGAAACAAGTTAGTGATTTATGTGTGTAGGAATGGTAACAGGGCAGGCGGGCCGGGGATTACACTCCCCGTCCCCGATCCTCGAAAGTGATAAATTTCCCGTCTTCGTCCCCGATGGGAAGCCCGTCGCCCTCCCCCTCGCCTTCTAACTGGGATCGAGTATCCCCGACCCCAAAAAATTCCTGAATTAACAGTAACATATCATAATTTTATTTTTATTTTTTTTATTCAAAGGAAAAATTAACAGTGATATGTAAATACCTTCAAATTCAAAATAGTATATCTTCAAACTCACAATGATCTGTAAATAGCATATCTTCAAATTAAAAAATAGCATATCTATCAATATATCTTATTCAAGCTCTTCACAAAAGATATTCAAATAGCATACTCAAGCTCCACTCAATATATTTGTCAACATATCTTCAAATAGCATATTACATCTAGCAGCCCTATATTCTATCCACTTAGAAACCGTAACCTATTTAAGCTCAACACAAAGGAGAATTGAACAAGTTGCAAAGAGAATAATTAATCCCACGCACAGCTCGCAAGGGATAGGCTACCCAAAAAATAAAATAAAATAAAACAAATCCATTACAATATAAAAAACTGCACAGCTAAATAGCAGCCACAATAAAAAAAAAAGGTACTTACGTTTAGGTCCTAATAAGTGAACTTATTGTCTAATAGGTCATATGAAAAAAAATTTGTCATAAAAAAATATCACTAATTATAAATTTTAGTGACAATTTATAAAAATCATGACAAAAAAAAGTCATTAATTGTCAATTTTTAGCGACGTGTATAAAAAATTGTCACAAAAAAATTATTTTTAGTGACAATTTTACTAAGATTTATTTTCAATAGGACTTTATGGGAATTAAGTCCAACTATTATGACCTATTAGTAGTTTAGCCTAAAAAAAAAAACCAAATCTATTGTGAAAAAAAAAAAAACAACATTGTTTCTCAAATACTCTGATATAACCACACAACTTTCATCATCTCCTTCAACTTGAATTCCTGTTAAATAATAAAAGGGAAAAAACAAATAATCAAATACTAATAATAAGATATAAAATATGTTAACAATTAAAACAAGAAAGATGACAACTAACACAAAAGTGACACACGACTTGTGACGCCTCAAAAAATAATTACAATAATCCACCCACAATATCCAATATATGATAACAACAATAATAAGGTTATCTTCCATTAATTCAATATGATATACAAAAGAGAAACATATGCATCATACATTCATAAAACCTAACCCTAAATCTATAGCATATGCTACCAATTAAAGGAGAGGAAAGAAGATAACAGACAAAAATGCCATGAAGGCTTACATATTTTCAAGATTGTGCTTAATTACAACAAAATAAGTCATCAGCTTAATACAAGTAAAGCCCTAGGCTTGAAAAGAAAATAAATACAAAGCAAACAGAAATTGAGCCTTCAGCCTCAAAGTCCTCCCAAGCTACGTATTTGGAGGAGACATATCACCTGCACCTGAAAATGATTTTTTCCAAGTAAGGTGAGCCAAACCCCAGTAAAAACAATCTAACACAATATATGAATCTTAACAAAAATATGAGTATAAAGTGCATATACAATGCATATGACAAAATCATTTGTATTGTTAAAATATCATAATATGTCAAGTCTTATATCTCAAGCCATTTTAGTCTTATTTCATTTCATGACAATCCATTTCATCTCAATCCATGAGTTAAATCCATTGTTATCCAGACAACACAACTGAGGTTACAACCCAGTGGCTCTCTAACCAATTCAATAATCATATAAACACTTCAATTTGTCATTTTATGGAAATTTCATCCACGAGAATTGGCACCCATGTATATACGTGCGATTTTTGAGATTTTCACCCTGGACACACATGCCAACTTAATTCAATGGAGTTCATCCCCTTTTTTCTCCCAAACATGGAGTACATCTCTTTTCTCCTCCCAAACATCATATATGTACAATGTATTAAAACACAGTCATATTCAATGACAATCGATAAGAAATTAGTTTCAATTCACCTAATCCTCATGCAATTTCTATAACAATCATAGCTATCATCTACCGATAGCCCAAAACAAATATTTCTAAATAGATATACAATCTCCAAAATAGATAAACTATCCATATTTCTATAGTTGAGAGATGACAATTATCCAACTCCACCATTTACATACATATCTATCCAATTTCACACTTCTCATACCAATTTCATTATTTATACAAAATAATCATTTGGAACATTTTAGAGCAAAACCCCATTTTCTCCTAAATCCAACCCATGTGTCAAAATCAACAAGTGTAACACAACACAACCTCATATCTATATCCATAACCATTTTCAACACCATTATTTGAAAACCCGTCTTTTGATTTTAAACCAAAACTCTAGGTTTGTCTAAAATCTTTCAAATCCCAACATTTATTTACACAATTAATAAATAACTAAGTTAAGAATCATAGGAATGTGTAAAAAGTCCCTACCTCAAGTTTACAAAAGAGAGAAGGGAGAAAAGCCCAAAAGTTTATTGTGACAAAACAACGACTTGCTCCGATCAAAATGAAGCCCTTGACAAGCTCTACACTTAATCTCAAAGGATCAAGTTGAGGAGATGCTTCCAAGTGAGTAGATTTAAAGATCTTTGAGCAAAAAGTGATTTTGTAGAGGGAGAAAGAGTTTCACAGCTTGGAAAAGGAAAAAGAGAAGAAAAAGTAAAGAAAATGTTAAGTGAAGGACTTATTTATAGTACTAGGTCAAAATGAAATAAAGTCCCAAAGTCAACCTAAAAGATCAAGTCAAAATTCCCAAAAAATAGGGCCTAAAATCAACTGAAAATCTGGAAAAAGTTCGTAGGTGTCGACCCTTATAAAGAAAAGCTAGAACATTCGTAGGTATCGACCCTTGCAAGGTGTCGACACCTCCCAACCTAGAGTCGACACCAAATTTCAGCAAGCAAACTCAGATTTTGCTGCATACAAGGGTCGATCTTTCCCAGACTGGCGTGGCCCTTTTGGCCAACAACAAAAGACAAGTGTCGACACCTCTAAGACTGGTGTCGACACTAAATTTCAGTACCCATTTCTAGAACACAGTAGCATGATAGTGTTGACCCTTCTAGCACTGGTGTCAACACCTGGAGCAGAAAAAAGGCAAGGAATAGAAGGTAGTGTCGACATCAACAAGGAAGGTGTCGACCCCTGAAGCCAAAACCAATCATGAAGAAGAATGAATGACAACCATGACTATGGTTTTCTGAATTCAAAAGCAATAAATGGATCGGGTCGATGCCTGGATCGCTATAACTCATCCAAGTCGATCTCTTCATCATCATTTATAGTCACATAGCCCACCGATTCCAATGTTGAATTTCCTAAAAAGTGAAAAATATAAATTCAGTATTGAAATTATTCCATGGTAATATAAAATTGAAATAATAATATGTAAATTTGATGAAATAATAATATGGGTACTTTTCATCTCTGCAGCCCATAATCAACTTTGTCCACGCATCAATGCTTCTATTCTGTTTGGATGAAGTCTACTACGATGTGGACTCACCAATCTTCCACTAGTACTAAATGTTGACTCAGAAGCAACAGTGGATACAGGAATAGTTAAAATATCCCTAGCTATTGCCTATAAGGTCGGACACTTTGGTCCATTGGCTTTCCACCAATTCAAAACATCAAAACCTGAAGTTCTTGGCAAAACATCATCTTCTAGATAATGGTCCAACTCTGATCTTACATTCTTCATTTTTTTACTTTTGGCACAGTTTTATATTGGGGCTCTCTATTTTTCAACCGAGAAAAGACATCCTTATATAATAAGGCAGTTTGAAGCATCAAGTAGGTTGAATTCCACGTAGTTACGCAATCAAGTCCTAATTTCTTAGTATGTGAATTACGCAATTGATTGAATTTTTCTTCAATTTTTTCTTGTTTTTTAGGTGTTACTGTCCAATAAGCTACACTCTCTCGAATTTTCTCTACACCCACTCGTATGACATCCAGTCCATCTTTCACAATCAAATTCAAAATATGCACACAACAACGCATATGAAACAAAGTATCACCCAACAAAAGCGATGTATTACTCAACCTATCCATCAACATGGTAATCATGACATCATTTGTGGAGCAATTATCAACAGTAACAGTAAAGATTTTTCTATCAATATTCCAGTCAATCATACACTCAAGCAAAGTATCACAATGAACTTTTTTGTGTGGACATGAAATATAAATAAACCTAAAATATAATATTCATGAACAAGTATTAATAACATGCAAATTGAATTGAATAAGATAGAACTTTTAAATGATTTGCAAATTTACAAATA